ATCATAGCCAGTCTTCTTTAATAGTTTGTGTGTCCTTTCCCATGAAATTGGATTGTGAGCTCCTTCGGAGCAAGAACCTATTTTATCTGTCTTGGTCTATTACTATATAACCTGATATATACAAAGCAGAAATGTTTGGTGAAATAGAAGTGGAATTAAATGTAGTCTCATGTGCCTGCAATCCTCAGGAGGTGGAGCTGATGTAATCTGGATTTTGGTGTTAATAATATATAAAATGGAGGTAATAATAATAGCTCTTAGATTTGTTTTATTAAATAATGTTATCTGTATATAAAACACTTATATATATAAAGTCTTAGCAGAGCATCAGATACTTAGTAGGTGTTCAATAGATGTTTATCATTAACCCTTTGGTTGGGATAGTTCTTGTGGGCTTATATTCATCTCACAGTCCAAAGTCACTAGCATTGTTATCAACAGAATCATTAATTTCTATTTTATCATAAAGCTATAAATACAATTTTCTAAGCGAGAAGATATCTTCCCCCAGTCCCTAATAGTAAAGATAAGAAAATAGTAATAGATACGATAAGGAACTAGTTAAGATATGGAAACTGAGGCTCTGTGATGAAGTGGCTCTCCAACATCCCACTCATGGTGAGGAGCAGAGCCCCAGGCGTAAATGTTCTGTGTTCACTGTAGTAATTAATTATTCCTCAAAATTATTAGTTAAGTGGAGATGAAAATTGCCTGGAAGACTGTGAAATCTGTTTTAACAGTATCTGGTTTTGATATTAGGTCAAAATACACATAAATTAGGCATTTTCTGTGCATGCCAACCAACTCACCTTATCATGGTTGAGTTGCTGTTGTTAGAATTGGTGGTCTTTAAGCTGCACTACTAATCCATCCAGTAAACATTAGACTTAAAGGGACTTTAGAGCACCTGTAATTAAATGTGCATATGCTGTGCTAAAATGATTAAGGAAAATGAGGGCCAGAATAGTTATGTGACTTGGCCAGGATCAAACATATTAAGCCATTTCATTTGTAAGGATGGTTACAATAGTTGAGGGTTATTACAGATTGCTGGCTCTTTTGGCCGGGGTTGAACCTGATATGATCTTGGGAGAGACCTGATCATTGGGTCAGGAGACAGAAGACCTACCTCCTAGGCCATGTTTTTGTTTTTAATATTCTTAGTCTCAATTTTCTCATCTATGTAATGGACCTAAAAATATGCTGCTTCTACCTCATCAAATGGAAGGATATATTAAATTGTGTGTAAGATGTAAAAGAAGAAACTATTATTGCTCTTATTTTGCATAAATTGAGAATTGAACTTGCTGTAAGTTAAACTCAACTTTCTATGGGAACTTAGTGTTACTGTGTCCATTTTATCAACACGAAATAGGTCAGAGATAGAAAACAAGTAACACTATGAGCTAATGGTTAGAATCTCTTGTTTAGGGATTTTTTTGGATGGTAATAGATATGTTGGTTTGACTGTATGAGTCACACGATGTTCTCCAGTGACTTGTAACTGGATCCATGCAAGTTCTCAAAGATTTCTTTAACTTCCTTAGTTATATATAACTTTATCATTTATGTTCCTGATTTACTAAAACTTCCCTTGTTCAAATACTATCCACAAGAGACATCTGACAGCCAAGAAGTCTTTCCAGGTCATTCAAATGAGTTCCTAATGGTTAGTTTTTTGAAGGCAGGAAGTCACAAATTGCCGAGAAAAAAGAAAAAAACTTGAAAACGCAGAGGTGTTTTCTGATATTCAAGGGACTGGTTGTATTTCTGAATGGATGTCCCCATTTGATTGAAATAATCTGTTCTGCATTTCTTATATTAATGACATAGTTAACTGGATTATGCATTCTGATTAATAGTTGAAAATAAATGATCTGGTTAACTTAAATATTTTATCCAAATATGATTTAGAAACACATTTTACAAAGGATTCAATTTTATTTTTACCTAAGGTGTTGATCTTAACCCTATTTTAAGGGTATTATAGGGTAGCTTAATTTATGTTATTGAAAATGTGGGCTGGTGCCTGTATTCTGTATGTAGAAGTCACTGGGGCTCTATTTTGTGAGGAATTGAGAATCCAGGAGCACAGAGTACTTCCAGGGAAACAAATAACTGTGTTTGAAAATCCTCTTCATGGGCAAATGCTGCCTATATCTGCACATCTTGTACCCTTCTTTTCTAGTAAGCATGAGTTCGCCAGGACTGTTCCAGTCCTCTCAGATCCCTCTCTTTGCTGGATTCCTGTGAGACATGCAAGGCAATATGTAGTGGTGTGGGAAACTGTGTGGTAGCATTTGTCTTGGTCTTTATTTGTGAATGTGCTCAGCTTCCATTTGTATTGTAAATACTTTTAGGTGGAGCCTCACTCTGTACTTAGGTATTTTTCAGGATCTAGCACAGTGCTGGGCACATAGTAAGCACCCAATAAACACATAATTAATCAGCACTAACTGGGAAACTTCTCAAGGTCTGGAATTCTGTTTCAAATTATCTACATGGTACCTCATATAGGGCCACATGCTGACAGGTGCTTATTGATTGATTTGATTGAAACTATAAACAGAATACCTGCTGATTTCTTTAACTTCTATGATAACGTGAATCTGAGCCCCCAGTCTTTTTCCTCACTTAACTTGTCTTGCCCAAGCAGTTTTAATTTGATGCTTCTAATTGAGGTTGCCTGAGTTATCACTGAAAGTTTCATTAGAAAGTATGCATCGACACTCTTCAAGTCCTTAGAGGTGGAAGAGATTATAAAAGTTTTCAGCTCAATCCTTCTAAATGCATGATAAAGAAGTAGGTCCATTATAGTTAAGTGACCTGTCCAAGTGATTCGTTATTAAATGGACTAATAGTCCATTTAATGTCACACTTTGAGCTCCCATTTTATTTCAGATGACACGGTGAGTGAGTTAAGAGTAGAGTCTCTGGTTTCCTAATTCTCCAGCCATAGTCACCAATCTAATCCCAACACAGTTTGGCCACCATTAAAAAGTTATCACTTAGCATAGTGATATCTTTCCCTTCCCTCCCTCTTCCTAAACACTCATTGGAGAAATCATATATCCAAAGTTTCGAACTTTTTCATAACTGTAGCACATTATGGTAAGCGGATTTCATACCATTTTGCTCCCAAAGGTAGGACAAGACTATTTTTTAAAACTCTTGCTTTGAGAAGTTTTCAAAAAGTTCACAATACTTGTGATATGTGAGGAGCTCTTGGCATATCACAGAAACAATGGGATTTGGGAATCCATGTCTCAGGGAATCAGAATTACTGTGTTTGGCAGAGTATGTGATGGTGATATAATGGCTCTGCAGCGGAAAGGCATATAGAATCAGGCCAGGATGGAGATTTGTCACTCAGAAGCATCAGCTCTCATCCTAGATAAGCAGCTCCACTTTTTTGTGCTTGAAGGAGACCAAAGTTAGCCCCTGTTTAGCTCCAAGTCTAAAATTATATGCTTAGACATGTAAAACCTATATATATATCCATATGTACATATGGATATATATATTTGTGTGTGTGAGGATGGTGACTGGACTAGTGATTGTGGATAAACTAGATTTGGGGCAGAGACTTTCCTGTCATTTCGGAGCTTGGTTCAGTTCTGCAGTACCCTGAATATCTTTGGAAGTGAAGGGTAAGGAACTGGGGAGGAGAGAAATGTCACTTTGCTCCCTGTGGGCACTGGCAGCGTTGTGGGAGACTTGCCAGCAGTGCTGCCTGGGTTTGAGAGAGGAACACATCAGGGCTAGAAGGAAGGAAAGGGAAGGTCTTGTGGGATGGGTTTTCACAGGCCTAGAAACCTGCTGCAGTTAAGTGAGCATGGCAGCAATACATATTCGTCTATGTATTTATTTAACAGGGGAAGCAATCAGAATCCTAGATGTCAAGGGAGGGTTGCAGAAATAGGTTCTCAGGCTTGGCTTGCAGTATCATTTGACCTAAGGAGATTGTATCAGCTAATCTGAGTTTGGAAAATCTTAGGAGATAAGATTCTTGGCATTGGACCTCTAAGAGTAAAAAACTTTAAAAATTACAGTAAATTTCCTGGTAAATCTGACTCTAGCCTTCTCTATCACTCTGTATGCCCCCCCCACCCAAAACCCCTTCATGAGTACAGAAGACACAGGAAGAAAGGACCATCTGGCACAGCACGCCAGCTTTTTATTTGGTTGCTCTCAATCCTACCTTCCTGTTTGGATCACCCCTCCCCTCTGCTCATACTTCAGAAACCAATCAAGGTGTCTTCTGAACTCATTTATTCCCTTTGTTTCAACCGCCTTCTTGGGTAACTTTTTCCATATGCTTACATCCTTGCCTTACAACAGACATTTTTTTTTCTTTTTTCATCCAAAATGGTCTGATTGGACTCTTAGGAAAAGCCATTTACTCAAATACATGACAAAATGCTTCTAAAGATCCCAAACAACTTTTCATTACTTTTGATGACCAGGATATATAAATAGAGGAAAAATTGCTTTGTTTAAAAATTACTGGCTGATGGGCAATGATGCTGAGTAGTAGGACATTAAAGAATACATTATTATTAGCATTGAACCCTCCCCAACACCCAGCCCCCAGTGAAATTGTCTAGATTTGGAGCTGTGGTCTGTAATTATTATTATTTTTTAAAATTTGGCATTTACTTTATTGTTCCTGTTTGACTTCTTCCCTTCACTGTGGTGACGTTAGTACTCCTAATATTGCCTGTTGTGGACCAGTTTTCTTCAGCTGTTGCTAAAATGCCAGATGTCACGTTGGAAACGCAAAACCTGAAAGATGGTCGTAAATCACGAAAACAAACCATAAAAAAAAATAATAAAATACCCTGAATGCTGTGCTCTGGAGCTTCCCCTTTAAGTCTCCTTTTGTTCACCGCTCTCCCTACTCCACCATGCCCCTCACCCAGCCTCCCATCTTTTAGGGCAGTGAGGGGTGGGGGCAGTTCAGCAGTTTCTCACCTAAGACTTGATTGTTTATTTTGCAGATTCCGAGCAAAGCACGGGTTCAGACTCTGAGGTGCTCACTGAGCGGACTTCCTGCTCCTTTGACACTCACGCTGACCTGGGCCCTGGGGCTGCAGGCCCTGTGCCTGCTGCCATGTCTTCCATGGAAGAGATTCAGGTAGAGCTGCAATGTGCTGACCTCTGGAAGAGGTTCCATGACATTGGAACTGAGATGATCATCACCAAAGCAGGCAGGTAAGGACAGATTCCTTTGAATGGCCAGATTCCAAGAATGGAGAACAAAAGTAGGAGCTGTTACATTTTTCTTTTCACTTACTTGTGGTAGGTAGCATTGGTGATGCCAAAGCAGCCTGTGCTCACAAAAACATGAAGTCAAAATGAACCTGAAATTTTGTTCATTTTATCTCTCCTTTGGAACCTTCTTCCTTCTCGAAGTTTTGGTGGTGAATAAGATCATTAAAAGTCTTCTTAAGAGGAGCAACTCTGAAGGGGAATTATTTCCAATACCATCTCTTTTTTGTTGCTTGGGTTTCAATTGACTTCTGTTCCACATTTTGAGATGTTATGGCTTAGAAAGAAACAGCAATTCAAGGAAAAAGTTTTTACCCAGTTTCTTATTTGGGTTTTCACTCAGTACTGTGGATTTTGTGTATTCCAGTCATTTTCATCTCTGATATCATTCCCTCGTTCCCTGCACTTCAGTGAATTCAGTTCACCCAAATACCTTTTTCACAGCTCTCCTGTGACCTCATTTCATGATTTGTTCTGCAGTGTTTTAAATTCCACATCTCTGCCTTCACAAATTACCTGGATATACCCAGATATTCCCAGTACAAACATATACAGTTTGTTCTTTAGTCATATCCCTTTGTTTAGGTTAAGATCCATCATTCATTGTTTCTTTATTGGATTGCCTCAGCCTTTGCTGTTGTTCCATGTAACTCTGCTCAAGTAATTCTGGAAGAACTCAAAAACATACAAAGAAAGCTTTCTCTGCTCTGACTTTTCTTCACCTCCTCCCGATTCCTCAAGTCTGTTTCTTCCTTTTCACTTCCTTTTCCTTCCTTTGTAGTGTCCTTTCCAATTTTAATCTCAGTTTTCATTTTCTTAGTTACATTAGTTTTGTATGACTCTCTGTTCCTTTTTCCTGCTCAGATTTTAGTCATCATCTACTTCTTCTCACTCCCCAAACTGTAATCCTGTTGATTCAGAATTACTGTAGTCTACAGAGCCCTCAATCTTTGAATGTACCAATGTACTCTGTAGAATCAGCACCATGGACAGAGGTTCTTGTAGGGATTAATGGGTTTGGAAGACACAAGAATTGGCCTAAATTTAACCATAAAATTAAAACCAAACGCATCTCACTTTGTGAATATGAAAGATTAATTTTTCCCTAGGGTGTTATGACTTTACTTGATAGTCTGTGCTAAAATACTGGCAAAAAGAAAAAGCAACTTTTGGTAAGATAATTCAAATGTAGTCATAGAATTTTATTTTTTATTTATTTATTTATTTTTTTAAAGATTTTGTTTATTTATTTGACAGAGAGAGACACAGTGAGAGAGGGAACACAAGCAGGGGGAGTGAGAAAGGGAGAAGCAGGTTTCCCGCAGAGTAGGGAGCCCGATGCGGGGCTCAATCCAGGGCACTGGGATCATGACCTGTGCCAAAGGCAGACACTTAACGACTGAGCCACCCAGGCACCCCTGTCATAGAAGTTTAAAGCAGGAGGGCACTTTAGAGATTATATAGTTCCTTTTCTTTGTTTTATAGGTGATAAGTTTAAATAACTTTTCCAAAGTCACACATCTCATTCATTTAGAACTTGGATATAGGTAAGAAACTGCTAGCTTCTCCACTCAAGGTCATATGAGTGTGCTAGACAAAACAGGTATTGAATTTAAAAACATCTAACCCTTTTTGTTGGAGTCATAAAGAGAAGACATTAATCTCTTGCAATGTAACACAGCCTCTGTAGATGGCTGAGAGGAACCACATTTTCTTACCTCAGATAGCAAGTGAGAGGACTTTCTCTCCATCCCTGGCAAGGTCCTCTCCAACCATTTATAAATACAAGGTTATCATAAGTCATTGTTATTAAGAAGGTAGTTACTGGTTTAAATGTAAATGTATATAGATCAACATTCCCAAGTTTTTGGAGAGAATTAGTGTGGATCAAAGTGCCTAACCTATAGTGAATGCTAGATTTAGTCGTTATGAGAAGTCCACCACTGGGTTTCATTAGCTCACCATAAGACCAAAATACAAGGCTTTCTAATTAAACTTGTGAGGCTAGAGGTAGAAAATCCGGAATGATATATCAATAGAAGCTTCTGAAGAGTCATAAAGTAGGAAAGAAGAAATGGTTGTGTATTATTCTTTGTAAATATTTAAGAATTAGCTATCATTCCTATTAAAGGTCTGTGGTTCCTCTTGTGCCTTCTCCCAAATATGATTTTGATGCCACTGACCTACTACCACAGGACATTTGCATTTTGAGTTGCTTCTGGTGAGCAGTGCAGTGTGTGACTGGAACAGAAAGCCCCTCATGTAAACAACTAGGGCACATAAGCAAGATGGCTGTCTGGGGTCAGGGTATGGTCTATGGCCATGAAATGGAGCAAAGCCAATTAGGCTGTATGTGGATCAAGCCTGTGACCTTGACCTCATTAGCACCGTGCTCTGCCCAGCTCAACTAACTGGCCCCAGATGGTTAAGCTTAATGCAGCATTTTGTGTACAAGTATCTTAGAGCACATTCAGGCAATCCAAATTCTTGAACTGAGCACTTTTTATGTCTGACTCCTAAGTGAATGACATACAAAAGAGTTTGATGTTTTTCTTCTTTCTTATGGTTAAAGAAGAACGGAGAATTTTATTCTAGACCCTTGAAACTCAATATTCTTCTGGGCTGCTCCCTCTCCTCCTCTTCAATTATGAGAGTAATTGTAAAGTGCCATATCCTGACCTCGCTTGCTTTGGCAAGTTTAACAAGCCATTGTGGTAGAAACAAGGTATTGCCCAGAGGCCACTAGAATTCATTTGGTATTTGCTCCATATTCCACAGGGTCCTCCTTCTGACACACATGTTGACAGCCTGAGAACTTGCAGAAATTTTTCTACAGTTTTATGCATTAAAAAACCCTCAGCTTTGTTGGCCTTTTGTTTAGGGACTGGTAGCCTCTTCCTTTTTACTTCTTTTTTTAGCGATTACTTTTAAATAGACTCAGTCAATCAAAAAATATTTCATTATCACCTACAATCAACTGTGATAAGCTACTTGAGTAATAAAAGCATAAGTTATTCAAGTATGTTAGGTATAAGTATTTTCAAGAATGTTATAGTCTGATAGGAAATGTATGTGTGGATACATACACATTATCTATCTGTCTATCTATCTAATCACATTAAAGATTAACAATAGAAATCAGGGTAGGTATGAGCTCTTGGAGTGTATGAGTCATCAAATAGGTCAATCTAAGTTAAGAAATGGTGCTATTTCAGCAGTGAGTCCTCAGCGTATTTTATAGTAATAATTTCGAAAGTGTAAAAAAAGCAGCCAATTTGGGAATTAGAGGAATTGGACTTTGGTGTGTTTAGCGTTCTTGATAAGAGGATACCTACTAAGCTTTTATTCCTGCTACTTCTTCCCCTCTGATTGTTGAGCTTACTGCCTGTTCCCCTTCATAGGAGGATGTTTCCTGCCATGAGAGTGAAAATCACTGGCCTGGACCCACACCAACAGTATTACATAGCAATGGACATTGTGCCTGTGGACAATAAAAGATACAGGTAATGATGACTCTGGGGTGTGGAATTGTGGATCACCAGCATTCCAAGACAGTTCTTTAAATCATTAGATGAAGCATTTTCACAGTGCACTGTACAATGCACTATAGGGAACAAGGATGGAGGATATGCCAATAACCTGCAGCAAAGCACCATGCAGGAAGTAGTCACTCATGGTTGGAAATCAAGACTTAGTAATGGTTTTGTCTGGAATCCTCCCTGTGTCTCTGGAAGAGAGCGGGACTGTATAGTGTCTGCCAGGGTTACAAAAATCAAATGAATATTAGGTCTAAAATTAATTCAGTTAACATTGAAAGTGATTAACATATTGAATGATTTGGTTTATGAAATACTAAATGAGTTGAGATGATTTATTTTGGAGAGGTGGAGGAGAAGTGGACCAGTGCAGTATATTCAATCATATGTCTGATGGATTATCCTGTGGATGATGGAGGGGAAGAAGAGGAGAATTGGGTAAGATTTCAAGAAGAACATTTAGTAAAGGAGAATTATTGTTTATCAATATGGGTTGTGAGCGAGTTTGTTAAGTAACTTTCCTTCAAAGTCATTACAGTCCAACACGATGTCTTTGTTTCTTGGATGGCTTACACATAGTTCTTGCCAGACACAAACTGTGGCTTAATCAATCTCTTGAGATGTCAATCAGGTCAGTGAATCATGGCTCATTTTTGAAATGTTTGAGAACTTGGCTCCAAACCTATGAAGTAGGAGGGGAGAGGTGAATGAATGGGAAAGACCAGGACTGGTATGGTAGAGTGAGAGAGCTGCCCAGGAGAGAAGTTATCTGGATGCAGGACTTAGCACAGGAGATGTTTCCAATCTGTTTTAGAGGATCTTGTGATTTGGACTGAGTGCTTCTGTTTGCTAGCATCCAGGTCCTGTGTGGTCCTTTATAAATGAGAAGCAGGGAGGTGCCAAATCCATAGAGAACTCTCTTCAGAAGTACAGGGCAATTGGCAAAGCGGAAAACTGACCTCCTTTGCTACTAAACAACATCCCACTTCCAATGCCTTTGTGGGAAAGTATAGTGGATGATGATGATATTCAAAACTGAATTCATCAAAGAAACACTAAAACACTGACTGGGAAGACTTGGTGGTGTTTCTGGGAACGGTTGCACTGAGGCAAAAACCCTCCATTTTCATAGAAATGCCTCAAAATTCAGATCCTCAGCAAAGAAATGGTTAATAAGTAAGAGGCTTAGAGCGTCTCTGCACATGGCTGTGTTTTATAGGACAATATGGAAGATGTTTTTAATAAGGAACCAAATCCTGAACAAGTGGCCAACGGATTATATGGTTTGCATTTGAAAGGTGAAAGGTTGCAGTAAAATACCTTTTCCATAGCTGGACACATGGGCTCAGGACGCCTGTGTGCACACAGGGGTGCAAGGCAAGGAGAGGGAAAAGAAAGAAAAAGGACTGTGAGAATGTTTTCCTTGTGAGGGCTGCAGCTTTGATCATTAACCACAACCCTTTGCTGCCCTTCCCCAACCCACCTCTTTCTCCATTTTCATCTCTATCTGATTGTCCCTGGTTCTGTACCCTACTCCTTTTCTCTGTTGTATTCTCTGTTTAATCCCTACTATTTTCCATCTTTTCATCTCTCTGTCTCTCCCGGCTCCTGTCTCCACTGGCTTTCTGGGCCTCTCTTCCCTCTCTGTGTCTGTCTCTGATTTCTCCTCTCTCCCTCTCCACCTCAGATATGTGTACCACAGCTCCAAGTGGATGGTGGCTGGCAACGCGGACTCCCCTGTGCCCCCAAGAGTTTATATACACCCTGATTCTCTAGCTTCTGGAGATACTTGGATGAGACAGGTGGTCAGTTTCGACAAACTCAAGCTGACCAACAATGAGTTGGATGATCAAGGACATGTGAGTCAAAGAATCCCATCCATCTCCCTCTTCCTCCCTTTTGGCTTTAGAGCTGATTAGCCCTAGGCTTTTTCAAACAGGTGAAATAAGAAGCTCTATGCCATTTGGAGTCATTTTAAGTAAGTAGGCATACAAGTTCCGTTTTTTCTTCCCATGAGATTTCATTTATTACAAATCTAACATTTAACAAATGTCTGCTGTGCATCAGATTGTGTTTATCAGACAAGTGTTCTCATGTTCCAGGAACCCACAGTCTAGTCAGGGGATAGTTTGGAGACAGAAACACAGGACAAGTTTAAAAATGGTGAAAGAAATCACAAAAGTCAGTGGAATAACTCACAGGGCAATAAACTCAGAGAAACAATTAAATGACAGTTTGGGCTGATTTGTTGAGAAATTCATGCATTTTAAAGAGAAGACTAGGGCGCCTGGGTGGCTCAGTTGGTTAAGTGACTGCCTTCGGCTCAGGTCATGATCCCGGAGTCCTGGGATCGAGTCCCGCATCGGGCTCCCGGCTCAGCGGGGAGCCTGCTTCTCTGTCTGACCCTCCCCCCTCTCATGCTGTTTCTCTCTCTCTCTCTCAAATAAATAAATAAAATCTTAAAAAGAAATAAAGAGAAGACTAGGTTTTAAGACTTTCCAGGTATAATTAGAGCACTTGATGTTATTAATTTATCCTTAGTGGCAAGACATACATGGAACTTTCACTGAATGCGAGGGTCCAGATTGAGTGCTATAGGAAGATTGAAGAACTAAAGCCATGGCTCTTATCTTTAAGGAAATGACGTCTTTTGAAGGAAGGGAGAACGCACATATACATTCACTCTCATAGTGAGTTGTCATAAATTTGGTAACAAAGTGCAAATGACAGCTTATAGAATTTATTTATTTATTTTTAAAGATTTTATTTATTTGAGAGAGAATGAGATAGAGAGAGCATGAGAGGGGGGAGGGTCAGAGGGAGAAGCAGACTCCCTGCTGAGCAGGGAGCCCGATGTGGGACTCGATCCTGGGACTCCAGGATCGTGACCTGAGCCGAAGGCAGTCGCTTAACCAACTGAGCCACCCAGGTGCCCCCAGCTTATAGAATTTAAAAAGACAGCATGAGCGCATGATGAAACTTTGAAGCAGGAAGGAGCAACTGTCCCATAGCAGAGGTTCTGAGACATTTTAGCGGAGTGTTGTTTTCTGGTGTTGGGACAGTTGTTCAGTATTGTCCAGTATTGTTTAGTTAAGGCAAGCATACTGCATCCACCACCCATGATTGGGACACTCTGCTGTATGGGTCCATGTAATGCTATCCGGTCACTTAGTCCTTCCTGCCATGGGCAAGTACACTGGCTTCCAGTTTCTTTTACATCTCCCCCCACCCAACCCCCATCTGTGTTCTTCCTATGATGCTTCTATCCTGTGGTTATATTTGCATGAGAGCTTGAAACGATGTAAGGACCTTTGAGCCACTCTGGCATAATGTGGCCCCTTCTCATTTCAGATCATTCTGCACTCTATGCACAAATACCAGCCTCGAGTTCATGTGATCCGCAAGGATTTCAGCAGTGACCTTTCGCCCACCAAACCTGTCCCTGTTGGGGATGGAGTGAAGACATTCAACTTCCCTGAGACCGTGTTTACCACAGTCACAGCCTACCAGAACCAGCAGGTAAGAGGCTGCCTTTGAGAGTCTCCTGCTGTATCTGCTGTTCAAGGAGCTTATTCATGCCTTTGGTAAGGAATACTTAATCCTTCTACATGACACTGAAGAACTGGAATAAGAGATGCCAGGCTTGCTGTGCAAACACCATGTTGGTGATGACAAGGCCATGATGCCTAGTAGCAGCTGGTATAATCTAGATTTAGATCAAAGACAAAATCTTTGACCAGGAGGACCGAATCTCCTAGGTCATTTTCATGTCTCTCTGTACTTGTACCCGTGTTCATGGTCTCTCCTGCATCTTGGCAAATGTTCCTCATCATTTGCAATTCCTTTGCAAGTACTAAGGTTTGATTCATTCTTTCCCTCTTCTCTGCAATTTTCCGTGTATCCCTGCAGCAACTACATCAAAGTCATAAAGCCTCTCAAACCCCGTTGGAGACCCACTGCTTCCATTTACACTATCAGACTAAATTTACCTCTGTGTGATCACCAGCCACACCCTAACATCTGTGTTTTTATGTCAGCAATATGTTCATTCATTTCATAAATGTTTGAGATCTTGAGAACTTACAATAGTCCAAGCTTAGTAGAGAAATCGAGCAGATTAGGACTTATTTCTCCATAAGCAAAGAAGAGTTTTAGGTGAGTGAAAGAAATAATTTAATGACAGAGATGTGGACAGGGTGTTCTTGCATTTGGGGAATGAGGGAAATTTTCCTGGAGGAGCTAATACTTTCTCTGATGATGAGACACACATAAGAATTGGCCAGATTGGGGCGCCTGGGTGGCTCAGTCAGTTAAGCATCTGCCTTTGGCTCAGGTCGTGATCTCAGGGTCCTGGGATCGAGCCCCACGTTGGGCTCCCTGCTCAGTGGGGAGTCTGCTTCTTCCTCTGACCACCTCTGCTTGTGTGCTCATGCTCTCTCTCTCTCTCAAAAAATAAAGTCTTAAAAAAAAAAACTGGCCAGACTAATGGGGGAAGTATGGCATGGGAGTGGTGTATGGGAAGAGGGAGAGAGACGCCAAGTCTGGAACTGTGGGCATTCTAGACAATGTTCTTTTTTTTGAGGAGGGTGAGTAGATGGATTTATAAGTGATCTCACTTTGTGCAATTCCCTGAAAATTGCATATGAGTCTCATTTTTTTGCAAATTAGACTGTATTTCATCTTTTGACAATTTGTTTAATTAATAGGATCCTGAAGTGAATTCTTTTCTGAAAATAAGAATTTCTCCTTGTTTATTTTGCTTTAAAGTCTGTGTACTTTTATTTTAGACCTGCTTGGAGCAAAATGAACTTATACCACAATACTCAATACCTTTTGTGTTGGATGCTATGCTTAGTGCTCTGACAAAGAAATAGAGGAAAAATTCTCATTTATTAAGTATTTATTGAGTGCTTACTATGTGCCAGGCAAGTGGAGGTGAGTGATATAATCTTTGGTTCATATAGAAAGAGTATTTTGGTCTTTCATAGTACATTTGTCTAAGACTCCTTAGATGTTCTTTGCCTCCAGAGGAATTTGATATACAACAACCCTTCAGTCTGGTAGACAAGTACTATACACTTGTTGGGCTTTCTCAGCAGCTGTAAAGCATTCCCAACTTTAGATTTTCCTTGTGGTTGCCACATTTGATCTAAAGTAGAGGAAGCGTTTTAGTTTGCTTTGGGTGTTATTAAAAAACTATTGAACCCTTTCAAACTCCTTAGGTAGTAAAATAACAGAAGCCATGGAGGGTCCTTACAGGAATCTTTAATAATCAAGATTTTTCAAGCTCTGAAACAAGATAGTGCAGCAATATAGCCAATGCCCTTTGGAGTGATTGGAACCTTGGGGTTAATTGTGGTTCAGGAGAGGAGGGGAGCACAAGTCTAAGTTCTTTGAATAACTGATGGGACTTTTTCCCAAGATAGCCAGCCACCATTTTAATCATTAGTTTCTCATGAAGGCAGAGATGTGGCAACAAATATTATAACTTTAGAATTTAGCTTGTGGGGCAAACTAGAACACTGGTGAATGAATATTCTGCTGCCTCACCACGATCAGTTATAGAGGCCATGAGGGTCAGTACTGTCACCCAAGCTGAAATGAAAAAGCCACAACTCACCGTGACATTGTCAATGAAAGAAGACCAAACATGGCTGCCTGAAATCCCTCTCACTTCTTCTACCTTCTCTCACAGCATTCCTGTGTCTGAGGACATTCTACTCATGAATATTTTGTCTTCATCTGGACTGGGGTGGGGGCAGTGGTAGTTTGTTGGGGGCGGGGCACCATGATTAAGTTCATGGGATTTGATAGCAGGCATACCCGGTTTGATTTCTGACCTTTCCACGGACAGATTGTATGACCTTGAGCAAGTTTCTTAACTCCCTTCATCAGTATTTCCTGGCCTGAAAATGTCCTGGCCTCATCAAGTTAGTGATGAGGACTAGATGAGGGAACACCCATAAAGTCACTAGTAGAAGCCTACATTGGTCAACGGCTGGGTCTGCACAGGCATGAAGGGGAGTGGGGAGTAGAGGCAATTATACAGAATAAATTGCTTATTAAGGAGAAAGTGGATCGTTGGGAATTAGAGGACCTGCATTGGCTCTTGAAGGTGTTATAACCAATAGGTAACCAGTTTGATCTTTCTGTTCTCATGTCATGTTGGTGAACTCATGATGTGCTGACATTCAAAGTAGATGAGTCATGCATACTCACTTCTGCCGGGTTTGAAATCAAGATAACAGCTTTTGCCCGTTTAACAAGGCTTCATTCCCCAGATACATCAACAAGCACAATTATTTAACATTCCCTTTGGCTGTGTAGTTATGATTTCATATAACACAGTGTCTTCTAGTAAAGCAAACTAACCTCGGGTCTTTCCCCCAGGAATCTGGAGGTCTGCATCCTGTTACCTAGCAATCATTTTCAGACTTGTCTCAGAGATGCCGGGTAGCATAAACCATTCTCTTCTGTGAGCTAGATCACCTACTACTGTGTTTTTATTTCCCTCAACTGTCTTCAATGAGAAAGATTACTATTTTATGACAAAATTATTTACTTCATATATTTCTTTTTAAAGGAATGGCTAGGAGGCATGAGAGAGTAAAGAGGAAAAGTCAATGGAGGGGGGAAAATCCTCATTGTTCTCAGGAACACAATGAAGGAAGGACAGTATGAGGAATGGAATTGAAGTGAAATGTTATCCAGTCTTCCTAATAAGGAAAGGCAGTAGACTAGTAGTTTGGAGACCTGGGTTTTCATCCTAAATGAACTACTAGCTACCTGTGTCACTCTGAGCAAGGTATTTTCTTTTGGGGTTTTGATTTCTTCTTCAAGAAAATGACCAGTTGGCCTCTGTTTTCGAAGTTCTCTATTAGCTCTGAAATCATAATTTCTCCCTCTTTTTTTCTGCATGTTTTTAATTGAGGGTAGGGAACAATTTATTGTTTTCAAGCAGAGGCAGTCAACACACACAAATATTGAAAATTATTTGAGGGCACCTGGGTGGCTCAGATGGTTAAGTGTCTGCCTTTGCCTCAGGTCCTGGGGACCTGGGATCGAGTCCCGCATCGGGCTCCCTGCTCCTTGGGAGCCTGCTTCTCCCTCTGCTTCTCTCTCTCTCTTTGTCTCTCATGAATAAATAAACAAAATCTTTTTTAAAAAAAGAAAATTATTCGAATGTTCATGTGTGAACATTCGAACCTTTTTTAACCCCCACAACAGGTGAGACCAATAGAGTTGTAGCAAGTCCGCACTTGAAAGGTGGGAAAGGTGGGAAAGGTGTTTTGTTGCTCGTAAACAAAATATTCCAAGCTATACTATTCCTTTGTCACCCCTGCCAGTCCTCTCCATTGTTAAAGCCTGTATTTCCTGTTGGCTTCCATCTTGCCACTGAGGCTGGCTGGACACCTGACTCTCCACACATCCAATCTGCCACTAAACTCTGTGGCTTCTACTGATGGAATATTTTCTTCTTTCTCATCTTACTGCTTCTACCCTTGTTCTGGACCTGCCCTCCTTCCACCTTAGGCTGTTGTGACAGCTTCCAGCCCAGTCACGGGGACTGCATGTTTAATGTCTCATGAGCCATCACGTATATTAACTGAGGGATGGGTTTTCCTAGAACATAGCTCAGATCGCATCATTTCTCTGTCAAAAACTGTTGACTCCTCAGTGCCAGAAGGGAGTATATATAGTCCAAGATCCCAAGTCTTTCCATTAAGGTCCTCTGTAGCTAGTTACCAGCTACATTTCTAGGCTCATTTCCCGCTAATCATCATCATGCATCCACAGGAGTTCAGCAATCTAGTCGGGGTTTTACTGCTGCTTGCACTTGGTAGCACTTTGCTTTTGCTTGTGCTGTTGTCTTTCCAGGAATGACCTTTCTGTTCATCTTTATCTGTCTAGCTTCCTTCTACTCTTCGAGTTCAGTACAAATGCAAACCTTCCCGACATTTTCCCCTACAACGTTCCTTACATTTTTCAGCTGTGAATGAGCTTTCCCTCATCGAACTGTTGTGCGCCGTGCCTCTCTCATGACCCTGTCACATTCTAAGCTGTGCGCATGACCAATCTTCCTCTCAATATTTTGAGCTTTTTGAGAAACAAACATTGTGCCTCTACAAAACCCAGTGTAGAAAACAGCAGATCGGGAGTTAGGGGACTCAGGTTCTAGACCCAACTCTGCAGCTGACAGACTCTACTGCTTCTGACAAATCGCTTCACCTCCGAATCCTCATTTGTAAATTGGTGGTTTGCTTCTCAGCTACCAGTCTATGGAGACATTTTTTATAGTCCACTGAAAGATGAGAAAAATAAAGGCAGGATAGGGGCAGTTTATACCTGTAAACGTTCATTTAAATAGGCTGTATTTTATTTTGTCCTTTTAACCTTTTTTGATACTAAAATGTCATTTTTTAAAAGATTTTATTTATTTATTTGACAGAGAGAGATAGCGAGAGCAGGAACACAAGCGGGGGGGAGGTGGGAGAGGGAGAAGCAGGCTTCCTGCTGAG